TTGCTTATACTATTACAGCTCACTTAGTAATTTCAAACAAATGCTGTATGTTTATAATCAATAGTTTCAAAGTTTTAGACCCTGTAGATGCCTGCATACAGATGCGTCTTGCATGTTTTGTGATTGTAATTAAATGCAATTAGAGAGAAATCTGCTTCTGCATGTTCTCCCTGTGCCTGTGTGGGTTCTCTCCGGGTATCCCGGCTTCCTCCCACGGTCCGAAGACATGCAGGTTAGGTTGATTGGTGACTCTAAATTAAATTAAAATAAAAAACATGTGCCAAGTTTAGCATGCACATCGTCAGTTGGGTGCCAACCGATGATTCGCTGTGGCGACCCCTAACGGGAGCAGCCAAATGTAAAAGAAGAGAGAAATCTGCTTCTGGGATTCTTTAAAAAATAACATTTTTAAGAGGGGAAAGCTGAAAGAAAGGAGGTGAGACACATTGCTCCAGTTCACATGGAAGCAAGAAGTTGACCTTCACGTCTTACACCCTTCCTCTCTGCACCCACACCCATTCAGTTAAATTAAATTATCCCCTATTGCAGGAGGAGTATGCAACAGTGGTGAAGTGGTGGTTTGGATAGATGGATGTATGTAAGGCCTGTGGTCGAGCATACAGAGTATCACATTCTGCTATTTTCATTTGGCTCTTTATTGCTCCCAGTTGTAGAGTAAAATAAAATGGAGCCTGAAAGAATAACAGGGGGGTGGTAATCGGCCAATCCTGCACTTTGTTCCTTATTGTTCCTCATTGTTTGTGAGAAATGTCACAGTAGCTAAATCAAGCTGAGCCACATGAGAAACAGACAGAGCACATGGATGATGGAAGGGTGTGTGTGTGTGTGTGTGTGTGTGTGTGTGTGTGTGAGTCTTTTGGTGAAACCAAAGATGATTTAGATGCAGGGAGTATATTGGGATGCATTTGATATCATTCACCAGTGAGTGGTTGCTCTACAAGTTTTGAGAGAAGAAGAAAGAGTGAGAGAAGAGAGAGTGAGAGAAGGAGGCTGGATTTTAACACATACACACATAGCAGTGAAAATGTTGGAGATATTGCTTTGCTCAGGTTACTGCATTTGTCAGAAAGGTTGAATATGCCTCAGTGTATACATGTGAGCCTGGTATTACTCACATGGTGGGGACCAAAAGCCAATGCAAAGTCCCAAAGGGACAAATGTTTGTGTGTGTGAGCTTATACACAGAACAGTGATGGTAGCTATGGGTCATTCTCCAGTTGTTGCTTAAAACCTCTCATGTACAGACTGATGAAAGCTGCTGGATCTGGGCTGCACTCCATGTGTGTGCCTCTCTCAAACTCAGGTTTTTGACATTCTCACACACATACATAAACACACTTAAGCCATCTTCTTATACGTATCAACTCAGACAGTGGCTGGTGAATCCTTGTCCAGAGTCATTGCACACAACAGGAGACTGTTCATGCCAGACACATTCTCACTTGGAAATACTCCCTTTGGTTTATACGAGGGGTGGCACCTGGGTGCAGCGTGCAGGAGGCAGGATGATCTTGCTGTTCCTTGAATTTGTCTGATCATTTTGCCGTCAGCTCTTAACAAGAAAAGCTTTCACACCTTGTTGTCTTTCTAGTTAGATTCACTGGTGTCTTTATGTTTAATGACCTTTCTTCTTCACCCTCGGATGTTTGTATTCTTATGGTTTTGTGCCAGTCGCATGAAGAAACGTCATCAACAGCTAGATCAGTGTGAATTCTCCAGACAATAACCTGCTCTTTTCACACATGGGCTCAATCGGACATTACACAGACTTTATAACTAGAGAGCAGTCGGGGTAAAGTCTCTGTAATGTCCAGTCCAACTGATTCAGACATTTGCGTTCTCACGTGGGGTGAGGTTGTAGTGCACAGATAAGTTCAGGGTTGTAGTGTACTGGGCTGGCCGGTGGCTTCTGGTCAAATTTCAAACAGCATGCCTCACACAGATAGACACAGCTCTACATGTACACACAGCTGTCCACAGTTTAAACGCAGTTCAGTATGTATCAGTATTATCACTCTTTGTATTCATGACAGCTGAGCGTGGGTGAGCTTTAACATGTCCAGCGCTGTTTGTGCATCTCACAGTGAAATCTGTGCACAGGATGTAGTTTTCTCTCCTAACTGTCTGACACTTGTGGAGGTTCATCTTTCTTTCGTGGGGGTTTTTTTCATCACCTGTCACAGTGATGGACGAGCTCCTTGTGTAGTACTTGTCCTTCCATCCCCCCCCCCATCTATCTCTTTCTTTTTTGCCATCTGTTGACTTGCTTTTTGAGATTTCCTCAATCCCCTCTGTCTGCTCCTTTGGCATCAGCCCATCTTTAAAGGGTTTTCAGATAGGATGCAGTATGCGCTGCGCTCGCCACAGGAGTTGGGTGCAACAAAGGGGAGGAGGGCACACATTTTCTTTGTGGTCTGTCAGGTTCTCTGCAATTGGACACATCAAAGTGTTGTCACAGAGCGCTGCACCCAAGTTCAATGTTTTTTAACTTCAGCGCAGTGCACAGGGACAGCGCGCACGACCTTACGCTGTGCTCAGCTCGGTTCTTGTGCTGCACAACACATAAAAATGAATGGATTTGATAGCTGAGCGCAGCGCCCACCGCATCCTATCTGAAAGCCCTTTATGTTGCATAAGCTGACTGATCATTCTGGGAAATGTAGTCTTGTTTTATCTTCGAGTTGTTTAACCTTCTTGATAACATTTGACCTCTAGAAAGAAAGAGATAAACTCTTGCCTTTGTGGTATAAGCATGATCCTCCAGTCTCTTTTAGTCTCTCCAATGTTCACACTGCCTCTGTTTTGTGCACTCATGTTATTTTGTGACCTTAGTATGACACCAGAACTCAAGACTGACACCTAAGTCATGTTCTGTTCCTTTGTATGCGTTGTATATGTTCACTGCTCTCTCCTGAATTACATCCACACACACATACTGTGCTGTAAACTCGGGTCTTTTGTGCTGCTGTTTTTTCCATTAATTCCTCCACTCAATCCTGCCCTACATCAGCTTGTCATCGTCCTCCTGCAATCCTCCTCAACTCTGCTGTTAAGGACAAATCACACTCCCACATTTCAGCCGTTCTGACGCCTGCTCCACCAGAGTTTGGCGACCAACTTGCTGACAACTCCTTTTATGTCTCAAATAAAGGTAGACACGGACCCTGGTGACCCATATCTTACATCCCTGCTTGAGGAGGCACTTCTGTCCTTGTTGGACAAGGATTTTTCATCCCTTCTAATCCCTTCATCTTTCTCTTGTCTCTGCCATCTTTTCTCCTGAAGTCTTTTGTCATTTTGAAGTGCAGTAAATCTCATCCCTCTCATTCTTCTACCCCCGCATCTTTCCTCCTCCTCCCTCCACCCCCTTACACATTCCTCTCTCTCCCTTGAGGAGAAGTAGTAGAGGCCATCGTGGAATATGGACAGTATTAATATAAATGCTGTGGCTGGCAGACTGTGTGTGTTAGCTGGCATCTGTGCTTGAGGTTTGAAGGTGTTAAATGACTAAACTTGTTCAAACATACATTTTAAATAGGAGTCAGTATGTGCACAGCTGTACTTACAGTTCAGTGCTACAAAAGGCAGCTGGGAGCTTAAAATGGAAAATTGAATTAGATAAAGGGCAAAGTAAAACTTTCTAGTTCAGTGGCACTCTCTAAACTGGGCTAATTCTTTACTAAAGCAGCCAAAACTTAATTAACATTAGGTTATTTATTTTTTCCTTAATTTCCAAAGTGACTAACATCTTATTGCTGTAGCATGAAGGAGGGAAAGAAGGATGAAAGTGGGTGAGGCAGACATGAGGAGGAGGTGGAGGAGCATGACTGAACTCTCTTTGAAAGGCCTGGCAGAATCAGGAAGTGATTAGACCACTACAATAACCCCAATAATGACAATAGGAAAAACATGTCTGCAGCCACAACCACTTAGCATCACAGCCTGTATCCCCTTTCCTGTAGGAAGATGGACGCGTAGAAAGAAAGACAAGTAAGACATTACCTATATGAAGGTTTGGAGAAGCAAGCTGAAGGTTTAGTTACTGTTGCTATAGCTGTTACAATGGTGGCAGATTAATGTTTTGAAATTCGAACTCATTTTTAAAACAATGCATCTCTGATAAACCAGGCTTCTCAGTTCTGGTTGGAAGTCAGTTTATTTAATTATGTTATTGTATTTTATTTTTGACAGTTTAAAAAAAACTCTTTAAATGCAGAGCATCACTCTCACACTATACTCTGCTTCAGTATTAGGTGAAATCCAGAGAACAGATATGCCTACTCCCAGAGGGAGGGGTGGACAATCGTTCTGTGCCTGAGCAGAAACCTGTGTGTTGTTTGTATAGCCCATTGCACCATCTTGGTAAACAATACTTCTGTTATATTACCAGGCAGACAGTGACACAAACCAGCGGTGGTGTAGAAATGATTCATGGTCTTGCAGCAGCATGAAGCCTGAGAATCAAAGCTGGCCACATCATCCTCTGGTTCCTCTACAGCCCTCCTGCTATTTCTCACTGCTCCTTGTACCAGACTTCTCCATCAACAGCCGAAATTGTTTTACAGGAAAGGTGGTGGTACCGGCTGCATCACCACAGGATCAGAGGAAGGTGGCTGGATGAAGCCCAGGCAGTGAGGAGTGGGTCCAGTGAACCTGGGCCTCAGCCACAGTGAGGGGCGAGTCAGACTGAAACAGGCCTGAAGGCCCAGTTCGTTCTGCCTGAAATAAAAGCATACAGTACATTTAGTTCTGAGTGTGACGGGATCTTTGTTGTCATTTTGCTTTAATCTCTAGCACTAGAATCTGCGCTCACGTCACTCACACACAGACATTTTAGCATGGTGCCAGCTCACACAGATGTAATGCCAGGCAAAACACGACCACTAGCAGTAAAACAGCAAGTGATGCTCGGTTGTCCTCTACTCATCCCTGCAGTGCTGATTTGGGGAATTTATTGCTCTGTCTGTATGTTTTTGCAGGGCCTCCAGGAAAGCGTGGAAGGATGGGAAGACGAGGGGAACCTGGTAAGTGATGGTTACCCCCTGCTTTGTTTGCTTATTTCTTATTTCTCTTGTTTCCTGGAAGACACACACTTTCTTAATCTCTCTCACTCTCTTATTCTTTTCCACACTGTCCCTCTTTTTCCTGGGTGACTGGATATGTTCGAGGGTAGGCAAAAGCAGTGACCCATGAGTCAGGCCAGCAGATTATGGTCTGCAGTTGGTCCTTCTCCCTGTCATTCCCTATTTGCGGCGGCATAGCACTAACCTCGGCCATATGCTTGCACTAACTTTGCCCAGATGTCAGCCGTTCGCGCTGAGCAGTAGCAGCTGCAGTAGTATGGGACTAATGAGATTCTTTGTTGCCAACCCACCATTATTGTGCTGCTTTCGATCCAGACCACAAAACACTCATTGAGGAACCAAAACAGCGTAGAGACATAACTCTTATTACGCGAAAGGTCATCATGACAGACAGAACAGATGTCCTACAAGTCTGAGTGATTATGAGTTTAAATGTTTGTTTTTTTAAGTCTTGACTCCACCACAATTTTAGTTTTATTTAAATCGGCAGGATAGGTGTCACATGGGAAAATTTCCTGGTTGTGATTCAGAGTTGTGGAGATGTAGTAGACGAGGTCACCTGCTCCTGTGAAAATGTTGACTAAGTGATAAAGGACCGTGCTTTACTGCTCCACTTAGCACACCAAATCTTCTGAAGTAACCTCATCCTTTCACAAGGATGAGTATCTTTGAAATTTGTTTTTGCAAATTTGACTTTCTGGGCTCAGTCCATTCATGGGATTTGTTAATAAATTCCCATGTTGTGTTGACTCTCCATTTACCTCTTAAACAATATATACATTGCAGAAATCCTTATGAGTTTTGCAGTTCCATTGGGCGATCAACAGGACAACTAAATAACAATGTTTTTCATCCATTTGGTGTTTTGCAGGGAGATTATCTCGCCATTTAGCTTTCAACTCAGCCTGGGTGCTCATTCCCTGCTCACTGTTTGTTGTAGGATGGCTCGTATCAAACAGGGCGATGTGGTTCTGTTTTCTCTCTTGTTCTGTTTTGGGTCCTCACGTTGCAGTCTGGGTTACAGTGCGGGGGTAGGTGGCATGTACACTCTTCTAGCTGATGACTCTGGGACAACTTTTTACAAGACCAGAAGAGATTTTCCTTCTCTCAGAAAACAGATGATGAGAGTACAGAGGATAAACAGAAACCTGACTAAAAGGAAAGAGAGCAGACAGCATCTGAAAATCCGCTCTCACTGTCGCCTTGTCTCCTCCATCAACTCGCTTTTTTTTTTTCCTGTTTGGTCATTTACTTGGTTTTCTCTTCTGTTTACTTCTTTCTTTCTCTCTCACTCCCTGTTTCTTTTTTCTCATTAGTCTCCACACACACCTGTCTCAAGTTGAGCGGATAAGGCTGCTCTGACATAGCTCTTGGTTTGTTTACCTAACTGTCTGGCCTAGGCAGTCTTTGTTGGAGTGTCTAGACTCAACTAAACCTGTTTCATAAACCCCAGCACCTCGCTCCTCTTGTCCCTCACACCTCAACGTTTTCATCTGTTTTTCTATTTGCCTTGTCCCCAAAACACCCTTTCCCTTGAATTAAACAGCAAATTTCAAGGCTTGCGCAGATTCTGGTCACATTAGGACATTCTGTGTTTAAATAGTAACAAAACACCCTAATTATCCGACTTTCACCCCAGAGGGAGTCTGCTTTCAATCTTGCAGAGTTTATGTAGTTGTTTAGTGTTGCATCAGGTGCCGATGATCTGTGTTGTAGCAGAGCTGCAGCAGTAGCGTCGCTCCAATTCGTGCCATAGGCGGTAACTGTGTTAACAGTTACATAAATCTGCGTCAAGTTTAATCAGATAAATATGAACCAGTCACTAATACAAAGTCGTTTAATGGCAAAACTGTATATTCACGCTGTGGGGGTTTGGGTGGTTTATTGGTCTCATGGCCTTGCATGATGTTTTTTTTAAAAAGAATATACCCATTAAAACCAAGACCACACAGAACTGACAACTCCTTTGGGGTCCTTTGATCATTACTGTTGTTCTTGGTTAGGCAAAGCATGAAAAGCAGGAACTACTTTCTGGTGCTGAGGCTCAGTGTTTTTATACTGTACAGGGATGCACAGATTGCCAGAGCACCCCGACCTTTCTACTCCGCTCGTCCGCCATCTAATGCACCCATATCTGTTTATGCAACAAAGACCTGACATGACTTCATATTCCTAATTCAAAACACAACCTGTTATCCACAAGTCTGTTTAGCATAACGGGTTCACCACAGACTCCACTGGCAGCAGCTCTAATGAGCTTGTTCTGTTTAGGTTGTTAATTATATTCATCATCTAACAAACCACATTGCATGGCAGTGTTTTTTTTTTTGTTGTGTACCACTGTTCCATAGAATTGGTTGCTCTACAAAGCGGAGGTTACCATAACTCACACTTCTGTGCTTCACGTGTCGTTCAAGACGTATAGATCTTCTTTTCTAATCTCTGATTTCTCGTTTTCTGTTGCAGGACCTCCGGTAAGTACATCTCATCCAGGTAGTATCAAAATCAACTTACTGTACAGTAGAAGTTACTGCATGCAAAACTCTTACAGAACTTGCTTTGTCATTAAAACATTATCTGACATGTACACACACTGTAGTGTACATTATCCCTCACAGTGCATTGTACACTGCTGTTCAAGCTAAAGATAATCTTTTCTTCCATGGCAGTAAAACACACAGACACACAAACTGTCACAGACTCGCTCACACATGTGGAGACACAATAGACAGACCACCTATAGAGGAAGTGTGTGTGAGTGGTTGTGTGTGTCATGGTGGAGTTATCATCCTCTGTGGGACTATAACTTATGATGATGCTTTCTCTCTCACACACACATAGATAAAATACACTCAAACACACAGACATAAGGACATGTGTTAGAAACAACTGCTGTTGTTACCTACGTGGAAGAGTTATTTCTATCTTTATTTTTAATTTTTTGATTAAAATTATTTGGTCACATGTGACACAGATCAGACAGGAGAAGGTAGAAACACCCTGTGTCTGGCTGACACTTTAAAAACCCAGGGAAGGGTATTATTGAAGGAAACTGGATGTGCTGGTTTACACTGTGTATGAAACCGTGTATACTTTCTTTTTACCAAACACATCCAAAATCCTACCTGCAGCCCATGAAGGCAATGACAGAGTGTGGTAGTGCAGAGTCACCTGCTACTCTCCAGACTAGTAGTCTGTCAGTACAACTTGTCTGAGTCAAGTATATTGGCTGGAAACTGTCAAAAATAAAGTTTGCTTTCTAATTATTTTAATGCAGGTTGCTTTAAAAAAAAAAGGAAATTCAATCAGGTATCAGATAAGATGTGAAAAGCTCATTCATCCCAGCTCTAAACTCTTTAATATAAATGAACCATAACCCTGTAACATCGTTATCATTTCCCAGTGGAATAAAGTGTATAAAGTCACAACATGATGACCGTTGTGTGTAGACAGCATGTTGTGTGCAGCTGTATTCTGATGCTTCATGCTGTAATCTCTAACCTCGCCAGGGCAAGTCTGGACGGGATGGATACCCGGTAAATTTGATTTGTTATTTATCCTGTCACTCTTCAGTTCACCCAGTTGTGTGTCTGCTCTCCTTTCATTTGCTTTTCTATGGGTGTATTCTAACTTTTCCCACAGCTTTCTCAGGCATTTGTTTCTTTCTTTGTTGCTCTTTTTGAAGAAATTATCTGCATTCGAATTGTTGCCTGTTTCCTGCAATTTTCAGCACTTGCTCTTCATCAGTGATATATCCTGCCCTATGACTAGGACTCAAATTCAAAGGGAGTCATGTTTAAACACAAGCAGACATACTGTGGAGCTCTCAGAGTGGTAAGATGAGATGAACGTTTTTTATTTTTCATTGGCAGTTTGAAACATTACAACATACTGACTCACAGCAGAAAACAGTGACATAAAACAGCACCCACATACTATAAATGAGACAACATGAAGAGCATTGATCTTTCAGGGGCACTCTGTGAAGATATCATCAGTAAACACAGACCACAGGGGTTTAAACCATACCAATGAAAATGTGAAACATTCATCCACAAGGCACACATCATGCCCTTCAACTTTTCAATGAGGTTTAATAATGTTTGAATAGTATAACTGTGTACATCCATAACTACTGAATCCAAAACAGATTGCTGGTTCCCACAAATCTGAGACCCACTTCTGGTGGTATTCAGAGACAGAGTGGCCTCTAACGGCCAGTTAGACTTGTGACTCCTATACTCAGGAACTGAGATACAACAGCTCATGGCTCCGCTGCTGATTTGCGGTTTAGCCTTCATCAGGTTCTTTTCATCTAGTACAGACACGTGCTCATTATTCAAGAAGTCGAGCTGAAGGAGCAGCTGGATGTATGCATAGTGGTACACCGAGTGTGTTGCTGTTCTGTGAGACACCCTGTCCCACTATCGTGTGACCCCACCCTCTGGTTGCCATAGTGAGTGCAGTAGACGCCACGATGTTGCGTTCCACGATGTTTCAATGTTTGTATGAATGTATTTGTCTCATGGGGGGAATTTTGGGAAGTGCATTCCCCATGAGGCTCCGTCCCAGTCAGATCCCCAGTCTGCCTGGCACTGCGCAGCCCTCCTGACGGGAAATGCCTGCTGCTAATCACATACAGGTGGACGGAACGCACAGAGCAGTGTGTGTACACTTGTGTTTGTTTGTCTGTAACTTCATTCATCTTCGTCACTGTCTTTAGTAGAAATTCCAACAGTTTGCTACTTTATAATGTTGTTTTTGCTTAATCAAATGATTTAATGTATCAGCGTATCACCATCCCCACTCTAGTTCGGATAATGAAAGACAATATTACAGCCGGGGAAGCTGTGTTTTTAAGAGGCAACTACCTGTCATGGTGCGCATGTATGGGTATGATGTCTTGGGAAGCTGTGTGTGTGTGAAGTTCCAGTGAAACAGTAGATTAATTATGTTTGCAGTGAACACAGACAGCGCGTTATTTCATTTAGCAGCAGCAGAGATGATCAACTTTCAAACGAAGCTTAAAAAGGGGGGTTTCTTCCTGTTGGGTAGCAATGTTTGTGTGTCTGTGTGCAGATGTGTGTGAACTCCTTCCAGCCACCCATAGTTTATGTACATCTCTGTAACAAAGGCCAGAGCTGTGTAAGTGGTCGCAGGTCTTTGTGTTTATGCGAGTGTGAGATACGTTTTCACACACATGGACAGCTCACATGGAGACAGCATGAATCGGCACAGATGAATCTAAATCAGTTTCTGGAGAGCTTTTTGGTGCTTATTTTGTTGTTGCCAGTGAGAATTCTTTCCTTAGTTTTTCATTGTTAAACCAAACAACTAGATTGCTTTCCAGCTCTTCACTTTCCTGTGTTCTCATGCCTCCTCTCGCCATTATTATGTCTCTATGGCTTATATAGAGTTCACGTTCTTAACCCTCAAAAGGCATGGGTCTTAATTCAGTAATTGTACATATTAACACATTATTCAACAGTATGAGCGATGGGCAGTTGTCCTATATGCTGTGTGCATGTATGTCAGCATGTGAATGTACATGAGCTGCATTTTATTTGCTTGGTACACACATGTCTTCCAGACTTAAAGTTCATCAGACTAATACATGCAGCAGCTCACTTCCTTTGAAGCATCAATAATATGGTAAACAGTGTTAATGACATGCGGTTTGCATGTGTCTCAAGCATAACACTTTGATAGCTGACTGTGTGTTTGCGCGTGCTGATGTATGTTTTCTTTCCTCGTGTAACCCCTTTTACTTCTTCCGCTCATAAATCACAGGCAAGCGGTTTGAATTTCAGAAGAGAGGCTTCCCGCTGTCAAACAGTCAAAGTCACACAGATTGACAAAACAGTGCAGAGGGGCAAACAAACGCCTACACACACCAGTTGGCTCTCATTCATATGCACAGTCAACAGCGTGCCCAGTCACTGGCGTGTTTACATAAGAGTGCCAGTCTGTGACAGACAGTGGATCTCA